AGGAGGACAAAGACTGGCTGGTGGGCAGCCAGGGTCCTGCCCATCGGAGTCTTCTGCTCGACGAAAGGAGGACAAAGATTGGCTGGTGGGCAGCCAGGGTCCTGCCCATCGGAGTCTTCTGCTCGGCGAAAGGAGGACAAAGACTGGCTGGTGGGCAGCTAGGTCCTGCCCATCGGAGTCTTCTGCTCAACGAAAGGAGGACAAAGACTGGTTGGTGGGTAGCCAGGGTCCTGCCCATCGGAGTCTTCTGCTCGACGAAGGGAGGACAAAGACTGGCTGGTGGGCAGCCAGGTCCTGCCCATCGGAGTCTTTTGCTCGACGAAAGGAGGACAAAGACTGGCTGGTGGGCAGCCAGGGTCCTGCCCATCGGAGTCTTCTGCTCGACGAAGGGAGGACAAAGACTGGCTGGTGGGCAGCCAGGTCCTGCCCATCGGAGTCTTCTGGTCGACGAAGGGAGGACAATTGTGAACAGCGTCGCCATGGCGGAGGGCACTCATGATCTTGAAGTTTTGAGAGATGAAGCTTTGGTTCTCTGCTCGGAGGAACGGGGGAGCTTAGTTTCCCACGGACGGCGCCACTGATCGGTCCTGATCAGAAGGGGATCACTGGATGGCCACGCTCCGTTAGGCTGCTTCCTGTTCACCGGTGGGGAGGATGAGGAGGGGGTGTACCTGCAAGGCACTCCGATGCCAAAGTGAGAAAATGGGCAGAGTGACAGCAAATACAGAAAGTTGGTAGAGAATTGAAAATTACCTGACCCTCTTGAGGAAGAGGGTATTTATAGAGAGACCCCGGCGCTGGGCCAACGGTCATTTGAGATGGGCTGGATGACTAGGCCCAACCCTAATGACTGCTAGGGCTTACGTGGCGTAGTGAAGACCAGGACGTGGTCTTCGCCCTAGTACAACTGCTCCTAGATCTCCGGAAAGTGGGTTTGACCTGCTCTTTCAGAGGTGGACAGTTGGTTGATGACGTGTCCCCGCGGAGGGGAGCACGCGGAGAACGTGTGGAAGGCACGTTGTGCTGCCCGGCGGGATGGACACAGGTTCTGCCCACGGGATGGGCACCTGCCCGACGGGAGGAGGTTCTGCCCTGACGGGATGGGCACAGGTTCTGCCCGACAGGATAGGCACAGGTTCTGCCCACGGGATGGGCACCTGCCTGACGGGAGGAGGTTCTGCCCTGACGGGATGGGCACAGGTTCTGCCCGACAGGATGGGCACAGGTTCTGCCCACGGGATGGGCACCTGCTTGACGGGAGGAGGTTCTGCCCTGACGGGATGGGCACAGGTTCTGCCCGACAGGATGGGAGGGACAATGAAAAGTATACACATATGAGAACGGTGCTAGTAAATAATATTTTATTAAAATAATTAAAAATTATATAAGAACGGCTCTAACAGTTGCTAATAGGAGCCGTTCTCATTATCCTCTACAAGAACGGTTTTGCGCCATTGTATAAAATTTACAAAAAATTATATAAGCTACCGCAACAAATTATATAATTAGTTGTCTATTACTCTCTACGAGAACAATTTTTTTACTTCCTGAAAATTAGGCGTTGCTATAGAGTAAAAATGTTGTAGTGTAGAATAACTCAACATTATTGCATGCTAAAGAATCATTGTATTCTTTGAATATAGTCTCTATAAAATAATAATATATTAAACAAATAATATTTGTTTCTCATTTTTATATAACTGACATAATAAATTTTTCTCACTTGATAAAAAATAATAGTTGAATTATTAATTCAAGAATTTTAAAAGAATTTAAACAAATACTCAAATATTTTCTCTATCACACAATGATCATGTAAAATGTCAAACCAAAAGGATATGTCCATCACTTACATAATACATAGTGAATTGAAATTCATTGAAATAAAAAAGATTTAAAATAAATTATTGAATTTCATTTAATTAAAATAATTTTAAATGTATTTGAAAGAAAATTTCATTTATAAAAATCTCAAATGAGAATAACAATAGTAATAAATAATAAGTATAAGAAGAATGTACAAATAATATGTCACCAAAAAATTCAAATAACAATAGGGAATTCGAACCATAATTGACATAAGTATAAAATTAAAAGTGCATTGAACAACAATAAATTATATTAATAATAACACATCGATAGGGTAAATTATTATTAATATGGTATTTATTTTAATTTAAATTAATATAATTGTTTTAGTAGACAAAATTTGTACAATTGTACCCAGGTGAGTTACAATCATATAAATTAATAATAATTATATTTTATTCAAAATAAACTTTTTTATAATTGTGTATATGATAAATGAGATTATAATTATAAAATTAAAAATTATTACTAAATCATTTAGAATAAAACTCTCATGATAATAAGATTTTAAATATAGTCACAAAACAAAATTTATATATATATATATATATATATATATATATATATATATATATATATATATATATATATATATATATATATATATATATATATATATATATATATATATATATATATATATATATATATATATATATATATATATATATATATATATATATATATATATATATATATATATATATATATATATATATATATATATATATATATATATATATATATATATATATATATATATATATATATATATATATATATATATATATATATATATATATATATATATATATATATATATATATATATATATATATATATATATATATATATATATATATATATATATATATCAAGAAATTAATTTATGAAAATAAATAGAGAGTTTTAATTTTAAAATATTTTGAAAAATATTCAATTCTCTTTATAATTTAAGAGAATAGATAATATCATACGCAAATTCCTCCTTACATACAATTATATAATAAATCATATGAGATTAAAAAAATAATACATAAATTACGACTAACCTCGTAAAGAATGTGATATTGGTTCTTGTCCGAAGAATTATGAAACTAATTATGAAACTTTGATGACTTATACAATAATAGAATGTCATCTCAAATGATTTATAAATTAACAACAAATGGTGTTAAAAAAGTCAACGATGAGTCTAATATTTATAAAAATCATAAAACTTAAATAAATTAATTAATATTAGTGTCACTACAAATCAAATATATTTTCATAAAAGAAATTTTAGACTCAAATTCTTTTTTAAGAATATACAATTAAAATATTATAAAATTCTCATGTAAATTAATCACCTTAATATGCGAAGAGTGCATTGAATCAAGAATTACAAACTTAGAATTTAAAAGTATCATAATTTTTGTTTCATAAATAAAATTTATAAAAATTTAATTACTAGAATATAATTTAATGCAAATTTAAGAACATGCTATAAGTATAAAGAGATTTTAAATTGATCTCAAGCACTAAAATCAGAGGGGGAACCAGAATACAGAGTTTGGGATGGTCACATAATTTGAAATCACCAATTTCTTCACGGATATGATTTTTCACCTTACTTGAAAGAATGTGCAACATCTCTGTTTGTGAAGTATACTTGCTATTAGATTGAGCATTTTTCAACACAACTTTTGCAACTTCATCATTGTAACATGTCAAGAGTTTTATCAATTGAAGAAAATTATCTTGGTTTAGTGATTCTTTACTTTCATCACGACCTCTAAAAGCACAAGCTTGAAAAGTTTACCAAGGAATTGTGTCAATTGAAGTCTTGCGACATAGTCGATTCTTCATAGTTTCAATAGAAATTTAAGCTTGAATAATATTTCTAATATGACCATCTTGATTTAACAAGTCCTAACAAGCTTTCATAGAATTGTTGTATAGTGAACAAGGATCCTTTCCAGTGTGTTTAAGAAAGGTACAATGCTTTCCATTTCTAACTTTCTTCCGACCTCTAAAACATGTAGAAATGAAGACATATGAACCTAGAAGTCCACTTGGTCTTTTGCTAAAACGATGATAACATGGCAAGCAATAAGAAACATCCTCTGACGGTGAATATTTTAACCATGAAAGAAAAATGTTAAACCAAGCGTGTTGAAATAATCTTTGAAGATCTTCTTTACAAGACAATAAATATCGATCTAAATGTGTTTGATATGGACCCCATTTTAAATAACATCTTCGTATTTATCCATTAGATTTAATGGTATTTCATCCATTAGAAAACTCTAGAATAAATAAATGAGACACTGAGCAAATAAATGTGAAAAATAAAATTGCGTTCAAAATATACATGCTAAAATAAAATAGTTCTATCAAATACAATCGGCGAAAGTGTTCGTAATACAAATTATTTCTCTTAAAAAAATGAAAATAATAACTAAAGAAGGAAAAATTACATTATAGTCACTGTAATCCTTCATAAATCAAGGTTCCCAAAAAGGAACGCATTGAGATAGCAACATAGGTTCTAAGATCTCATATTGAGGCTCCTCAGATGATAGAATTGGATTTTGAAGATATTGATAATCCATATCTAAATTGTATGGACAATATTGATCAAAAAACATATTACCATGCATAATGTGTTGAAGACTAAATTCGCCTCTTGTAAGAGTCAGTTCTTCTTCTTGGCAGGCATTATTATTATGATTGGTAGAACTCCTCATAATAATTTTCTCATTATTTTTCCCATCATAACTTTGATCAACCATCGTTGAAAGTTGTTCCAAGTTGTTGATATTTTTCTCATCATTAACTTGATCAAGATAGTTACCATGCATAATGTCTTGATGATTAAATTCCACTCTTGGTAGAGTCAGCTCTTCTTCTTGGCAGGCATTATTACTATGATTACTAGAACCCCTCATAATAATTTCCTCATTATTTTTCTCATCATAACTTTGATCAAGATAGTTACCATGTAGAATATCTTCTTGATGATCAAATTCCACTCTTGGTAGAGCAATTTCTTCTTCTTGAGAGGCATTATTTTGTTGGTTACTAGAACCCCTCATCATACTAATTTCTCCAACATTGTCCTTCAACTCATCAACATGGTGTATGCTTTCTCAAACAAGTTGCTTTCTAGAATTTTTTAAACTTCTTTTTTTGGAATTAATAAAATTCTTTAACTCGTTATCGGTTCTTCCAGGAAACTGTCACAACAAAAACAAATACAAAATAGTTATAGAACTAAGTTCTTCCAAATAAAATTTCGGTGCCTATCACTAAAATTCATTAATTAATATATTTACCAACAAATTGTAGATGTTAAAGTTTCCAAAACTTATATTTTAAGAGTCAATTCTATAAGTTGACTTCATGCAAAAGATTATTGTTTTATTTACCAAAAAACCCTAATCTTAAAGAACATACAAAAATCATTACCTATTATAAATGGTTAAAATCATAGAAAGCCTAATAAACTTTAACTTTTTTTCTTCTATAAAAGTGAAACATGAATAAACATACCTGTGAAAGCATTTGAGTCCATTTGGGCCCTAACTCATTATAGAGATAAATAAGTTTTCTTCCTTCTTCTTCACTAAGCGAGCACTTTTTTAAAGTTGGTTTTAGATGATTTAACCATCTTAAACGGCAACTTTTTCCATCTCGAGCAAGTGTTGTTTTCTTGCGTACAGAATCCCACTTTCCAACTCCATAATTTGTCACATATTCTCTTAATAATTGATCCTCTTCATTTGACCATGTCCCTTTCTTTAACACAATATTTCTAGTATCATCACCATGGTTGCATTTTTCTTGTTGAAAAGATGAAGATGCCATGATTCGAGTAAATGTGATTATTTGGGTAAATATTTACGTAAACAATAGTGTTAGTGTGTAGAAATAAATAGAGATAGTCTTAGTTTAAATAAAAATCTTTAACGCTATTCTAACTCCTATCTTTGCTAACTAAATAACAATATTTAATATGCATGCCCTATTTATTTGGGTAAATGTTATTTTTATTTATGTGAGGAATAGTGTTAGTGTGTAGAAATAAATAAGAGAGAGTCTTAGTTTAAATAAAAATATTTAACCCTATTCTAACTCCTATTTTTGCTGACAAATCACCTTATCTAATATGGAAGATAGAACTAAACAAACTCCACTTTTCAATATTTTTTTTAAATTAGTTCATGTTTGACTTAGCACATGAACTATTGTGTCCCACTCGTGTATATTTTCAAATTTTACTATCCAATATAAAAACTACCTCAACAACATTTCTAGTCCAATATAAATAAAATTCAAATTAATTGATAGAAAAATTAATTATATAATAATTCAATTTCAATTATAAAAAAAATAAAATTAAATAGAATTTTTTATGAGAGAAATAATTTTGGCGTTTAAGAATATCTGATTTTTTACTAACTCGTTAATAGTTATTTAAAATATGGGTATAAGATGAGTAATGACAACATTAGTCGTGGAGTTTCTCATAACCATGATAAAATCAAAGAGAAAACATAAAATCCTCTTTAAATGATGTATGTATATATAAACATTAGTTTCTCTAAAAAAAACTTCAACTAACTAACTAACTTTAACTAACTCTCTAGTTTGTAGTGCTTCTTTATATGTGGTGTACCATTAGAAAAGGAGAAATATATGATGAATATAATATATAACTTGCAGTTGAAGCTTGCTAACACTAGGTACTTTAACATTCATCCTCAAGCTTGACATGGTATATATCACTCATGTTAAGTTGGGATATAAAGAAGTTAAAGTTTTTTGCTGAAAAAGGCTTGGTAAACAAATTTACAAGTTGGACCTACGACTTTATAGGAAGAATTTTAAATAAGTTTTGAAATACCTTGTATCTTAGAAAGTGGCAATCGATTTCCAAGTGTTTCGTAGGTTCATGAAAAACTGTATTTAATATGTATTACACTTTGATTGTCACAATAAAATATACTTGTTTGCTACATTATACTCCTAAGTTTTATGAGGGAAAAGCCTCATATATATATATATATATATATATATATATATATATATATATATATATATATATATATATATATATATATATATATATATATATATATATATATATATATATATATATATATATATATATATATATATATATATATATATATATATATATATATATATATATATATATATATATATATATATATATATATATATTTGTGTGTGCGTGCGCGTGTGCGTGTGCGTGTGTGTTCGTTTTGATGATGTTAAAATTCAGCTCCATAGAAAAATATATGTTGGACGTTGTCACCATGTCGTATTTGCATGTCTTGTTTCTCATAATTCAAATGCTCGTAAAAATCATGACTGTTGCATATAGATAGCCAAATATGTGTGTCATATAGGGTTGACTTAGTTGGTAGTGTTTTACATACTATAGGTTTCATCAAATGTGTCGTAAAACATGAAAATAGGAATTTTTGCTTATTTCAGGGTTTTGAGTCGACCAAAAACCTGCTTTGGTCGACTCACACTGCAAGTTGTTTTAGTGAATCAATCTCAGGAGGGCTCGCGTGGATCCTATGGTCGACTCATACTGTAAGCATTTTAATTTGGCTAAAATTGCACGCTATGAATCGACGCATGTTATGCTCCGGTCGATGCGTGGTTCTGTTTTCTGCACAATCTTGAGTTCGGGTCAGCTCAGGTCAGCCCCCTCTACTGCATAGGTCGACCGCTCGTTGTTTTATGTTAAAATTCTGATATGTCAACTGTTTTTGTGAATTGGTCTTGGTTGTTTTGTCAGTTATGTTTGGTATATAAGTTCAGTTGCTCTTTCATTTCATAATATTGAGAAAAACTAATATATACTTGACAGATATCACCTTGGCCAAGAAGAAAACCGAGGTGAATAAATTGTTTTTTTAAATACATTGTTTACACAAAATATTAAAAATAAATTGTAAAATCTGTTTTCCAATGAGAAATTTAATTTTATATGTTCAGGTCTCATGCAAGATTCTAGAGATCTGTTTCCTAATGAAAATTTTTATTTTCTACACTTGCAATCTACCCCAGAGATCTGTAGTAGCTACTCGTGATAAAAATGGGTGGTGGTGAATATTTCCTCTCTTCGTGGTGGCTACATATAATTTGGTATTAGGGTAAAATTTATTTAACGAGTCCTTTTATAGTAAAATATGGTTACTAACCACCTCGGTTTTACTATAAAACCAAGATGTTATATTAATTATCACCTTGGTTTTAAATAAAACCGAGGTGACGATTTTTTTTTAAAATACATTGTTTATACAAAATATTTATAAAAAAAATATTATTTACAACAAATCTTCGATGATATCTGTAATACCCCAAATTTTTCCCTAAGATTAGTCGAATCATCTCGCATTCCATTACATTGTTTTGTATTGCATTTAACCAGTCATAATCATGTTTGCATCCGCTAACTATTAACAGGTTACGTAGTCCGTTTATTTTGCAGGATTTACATCAGGTGCTCTTTAACTGTGAAAAAGGCAAAAGGGTAATTTGTGCATTATTTACTGACGGTTTTTGAAGATGAGCTGTCGCCAGGATTCTTTGGAATAATTAAAATCTTCGTCTCCGATTTCTTTATTTTGAGGATAAACAGAAATTTACAGTGAATTTTGGCATCCGAGTTTTCGAGATACGGTAATTTATTCAGGAGCCGAGTTTCTGTTGTCAGTAGCTTTCAGGGCTGTTGCTTTGTCATGTGGGTTTGATTATGTTGAGACATCAACTTTGGTTCACTTAAATCGGTACAAGCATTTATTTCCATGAGTTATTTCACAGGCGCATACTTTTCTGCTTCCCCTGCTTTCTGCTGTTTTTAAACTTCAAAAGAAAAGAAACAGTAAAAATTCCGATTTGGATTCGGGTTGTGATTTATGTCGATCGAGGTTTATGGGCCGAGATGGTTTATGGGTTGGTATTTTGTCGAAGACGCTAATTGAATTTTAATGCGGAGTATATTTATGTTTTCACTGTTAATCAGTTTTCTCTGCTTCCTTCTTGTTTTATTTCGTTCAAGAATATCATCGATTTTACCATTAGGCGCAGTTTAATCTGAGAAATATTGGATTAGAATTGAAGGTTATATCGTGTTTTTAAGTGGAGCAGCACGGGCTGGAATGATAAAGTTGATTCAAGTGATTTTCTGGAATTTATTCATACGAGTTTGTTTGGTGAAGTTAGTCCGGTGGTTCAAATTTAATTGATTAATCTGTGATTGGTTGAATTTGTTCGGAGGCATTTAACTATTGGAATTTAATCGTACATTCTTTAATTACGAGAGTTGTTCGGTTCGTGATGAAATCGTGGAAAGGAAAATCAGACAAAAAATTTTGGATAGAAAAATAATGTGAATATTTTATTCATAGATATTTCTTTATTAACAATTTACAAAGACGAATTTACATTACATGTTATTTTTATTCTAAAATTCCTAATATCCTAAAAAGTCCTTCCGAGTATTTCTTTTCGCGCCCGATTCTCCGAGCATCCAATTTTCTTCCGATACCTGCAAAACCGACACAACAGAGCAGCGGGGTAAGATGTTAGAATTTATTTTAACCCTCAGAGAAGTATCATCACCGAGTGTCAGGAGGGTACGAAAGATGCCGCAACCAGCTCCCGTTCCAATCCTCGACCTCGGCGTCGAACCGGTAGTATCCGTCCTTTTCGGGACAGCTGAGAGAGGATGGAAAAGAAGTTTTATGCCGAAAGTGATTTTATGCCGAAAAGTGATTATCCAACCAAAAAGAACCTGAATGTATATCTCATCAAGTAAATATCTATGGATATCCGAGAATCAGCACTCAAAAAAATCCAACCAAAAAGAACCTGAATGTATATCTCATCAAGTAAATATCTATGTTATCATTTATTACTCCGCTATAAGAATTAATTAAAGAGAGGAAATCAAATAAAAAAATCTATAAAAATTGGCATGATTATATAACTTTAGAGACTCAATTTTTCTTCTTCTTTGAAGATAAGAATTTATTACTATAGTATTTAATGAGTATAAAATTATTGTGTGACTGAGTTTGCAACAACATATATATTTATGATCATTATCATTATAGCCCATAAAATGATCTAGAATTAGAGAAAATAGACATAAACTTTATACAAATTTTCTAGCATTTATCCAAAAAAAAAGTCGCTAAGGGCACAATTATTGCTAACTGATTAAAATAAATCAAAGTAAAATGTCCCCAAGTATTGTGAAATGCATACAAAAAAAATCTAAAAAAATATTAATTATTATCCATAAACAAAGAAGTAACCTCAACTACAAAACAAATTCAGTTTCTATTATCAAATGGAAAAACAATCTTTCAAATGACTATCAAATTTAGAGCAACCAAAGATAGTATAAATTTAGATAACATAGATGAAAAAAATTATTTGACATCATTATCTGGAGTCTCCATGTACAAAGGTTTACTATAGATAACTTCTTATTAAAAAATCACTCATGCATATCTTTCTCTGCTTCATGGTGCAGATTCTCCTTTGCACCAGCTATAATGCAGATTGTGTGATGTCGTCGCAATCTCTCTATTTTTCTCATGTTTTCGCCTTGTTTCTGTCAATTCCATTTTGCCTTTGAATACTTGCAGTTGTGCATATAACTTGGTATGAGAGAGATAGAAATTCAAAGAAATTCTTAAGAATAACATTTGATCTACAACTTCTTTAGAGAAATCCAAGAAAGTTTTCAAAGTAATCAATAAATCTGTCAAAAACAATTTAAAAGAAAAAGTAACTGTTATACAAAAGTTTGATGA